GTGGCACTGGACCCACTCTGCCGTCTTCTTTGGCAGCCGAGTGATGAACTGCTCCAGTACCACACGGTCGATGATGTGCTCGACGTCGCTTCCCTCAGCCAGTAGCCACTTGTGACATGAGTCCCGGAGCCATTGGGCCAGCATGAAGGGTCGGCCGCTCTCGCCCAGGTCCAGCGAAACTTCCAGGTTTCGGCACCAATGTAACAAAGTTCGTAGTCACGGGAAGAAGGAGGCGGGAACTGGCGAATATTTAAGATTTTAATAAAATAAACAAACACAAAATGAAAGTAAAGCGGCAGCCCCTCGCAGACGACTGGCGCACACAAAACACAAAATAAAGTCCAGGCCTGGTCCTCTCTCATCCAACACTGTCGTCACTCCTCCTTTTATCCTTCCGGAGCTCCTCCGTGGGACTCGAGACCAGTGAGTGGCGCAGGTGTCATGCATTAGCATTTACTCCACCGGCCTCGCTCCGTTCCCATGGCTCTCGGCCCCGCCCCTCTCATCACAATATATATATATATATATATATATAAATAAAATGTTTGTATTATCATATTTGTGTTGAGTTTGAGGCCAGTAAAAATTGTGCTATTGTTAAGAAATGCTCATTTCTTTCCTGTTCTCGAGCACTAAAAAGTGGTCTCTTCTTGTTCACAGTGCCGATCAGAGGTCTATTTGTGGAGTTGATGATCTCACCCTAGTGCCCGAGTTGTGATGTGGGGGTGCACCATGGCAATACAAGGTTCAATGGTGAGCCTGGCTTTACTGTTCTTTGCGATTCAAGCTGTTCCTAACCCCACCAGCAAACTAGTGAGGACCACAAGGGTGAGGCGACAGGTTCCCGAAGGTAGGGTTCCCTCTAGCAACCAGACCCAGGCCATGATCTTCAATCATGTATACAACATCAATGTACCTCTAGAGTCACTCTGTTCAGTGGACCTTGACACGGTACCAGGGCCAGGGACAAACAAAGGTACAGCTGGGAGTGACAAGATGCCGACAGAGTACACAGAAGAGACAGTGGACTCGGACAGCCAGGTGACCTTCACCCATCGCATCAATATCCCAAAGCAGGCCTATGCTTGTCCTGCGGCTGCCGCCATGGAACAGCTGGCTAGCCGTATAGAGATGCTGGAGAGGGAGGTGTCCTTGCTTCGAGCACAGTGTAGCTCCAGCTGCTGTGGAGAGAGCTCTGTTATTGGTGAGTTTTAGATTTTAAGGTGGATACACATTGCTCGCTCATCCTGCAGTATTATAAAAAAGTAATGTTTCTGAGTTCCGACTGGATTTGTTCTTTCAAGCATTCTTACTGTTATGGTATTTTCATTATATAACAGATAATGATCTAAATAAAGATTAGTTAAAAATGTTCAAACAGTTTAAATCAAGTAATCCTTGACTCATTTCAGGTCAAGGATGAGATGAGACAAAATAAGGAATAATTTTATGTGCATGCTGTACTAAAGCTAATATAGCCTTACAGTTTTATGCTTTACTAAAAATAATTGAAAATTGACACTGAATAATGGAGTAATGACTATAGAAAATTCATCTTTTTCATCACATGAGTAAATTACATTTTCTAATACATTAAAAAAGAAAACATTTATTTTTTTCTGTATATTTGATCAAATAAATGCAGCCTTGATGCACATGCCTTTGGATTACATATATGTACAAAATAGATAAATGGAGGATATTAATCAGCAATATTGACAAAAAGAGAAAATCTCATGACGGCTCTTTGCTGGAATAACTTTCGCTTTAATAAGATATCTAAAATATGTTAACTTAAGCTTAAAAATGTTTAACTGACTCGTTTTAATTAAAAACGTGCTTCTCAGTCAGACTCAAATAGCACGGAATTAGTGAAATATCATCTAAGAATCAGTCATTGGAACTCAGAAACTATTTTTACCAGTTTATATCCCTAATATTTCTTCTTGTACCTATTCATGTTGTCATTAAACAGGCAACTGAACTGGGTTATCCTTGGAAAGTTGTGTCACCCATAGATCCTTTTTCATCTTAGAAGTCCCAGATGGCACATAATGCAAAGAAGGTTGTATGAAAGAGTTCATATGTTCTGCTGTAGATAAATATTCAAAATCGAATATCATGGATTTACTATACACAGGTTACCTGGTGGATGAAACAAAAGTGCATCCTGGTCCTTCTGTCGGTTATGATGTGACCGTAGTGCTAAGTGAAGTAGAGGCTATATTGTACATTGACCCATAAGGACAACAGAACTGTGGAAGTTGGTAGTGTTGTGCTTGTTTAACGTCTCAAAGGGGCACTCGAGTGGATTCACACCTGCAAACCTTGGCTGTGTAGCCCCTCCAGGGCAGCTAAAAACAGCTGAAACACTGCAGTAGTAAAGGGAAAGTCATATTAAGCTATACAAATGAGGTTAGATTGTGAACTAGATTAATTACAGCACTGCTGCTGGAAAGGTTTCCCCTCAAGCCTTTGATAAGTCCTCTGTTTGCTGAATCAAGCTACATGCACTGGAGCTGAGAAGATTGCAAGATATTGCCTCAGAATTTTTTATTTTTTTCTAAAGTTTAATTTTAGTCCAACCTGATGGAAATTAAAGGAATAGCTCACCCAGTGTGAAATCTGTCATTATTTACTCACCCTCATTTTGCTCCAAACCTGTTTGAAATGCAGTAATTGCAGTAATTTTTAAGAATATGTTTAAAAGAGTGTCCTGGATACCGAATGTGAGGTGAATGAGGTCCAGAATGACCAAAAAAAAGCACACTGATAAAAGTGGTCTGACATCTTTCAGAACACATAATGATAGCCGTGTGTGAGGAACAGCCTGTAATTTCACTATATATACTTAGAGGGATATTCCACCCAAAAATGAAAATTCTATCATAATTTACTCACCCTCAAGTTGTTCCAACAACTGTTTGGTTACATACATTCTTCAAAATGTCTTCTGTTATGTTCAGCAGTAAATAATGACAGAATTGATATTTTTGGGCAAAAAATCTCTTTAAAATTATAGAGTCTGATGAATCAATTCACTCAGGTCACAAAACCAGTTTGAATGATTAATTTATGAACCAGACAGGTCCAGTTATTTATTTAAATCACAAATTCATTGATTCAGTCACAGTGTTTAACATTTGTCTTTTTTTATTTCTCCATGGCATTAGAGTGAGCAAAAGATGACAGATTTGTAATTTCATATTTGTTCAATCTTAGGTCACTTCGACTTCGTCCCTCAGTGTGGCCATGGCACATTCAGCATGGAGGTTTGTGGGTGTGTTTGTGAAGAAGGATGGATTGGCAAGAACTGTTCTGAAGCCCGCTGCCCAGATGACTGCTCTGGCCAGGGCATTTGCATCGAAGGCGAGTGTGTATGTGACCGTAACTTTGGCGGTGATAACTGCTCGGAGCCTCGATGTCCAGGTGATTGCTCAGACAGGGGGTTATGCATTGATGGCGAGTGTGTTTGTGAGGAAGCCTATGCTGGGGAGGACTGCTCGCTGGGCAGATGTCTTAACGACTGCTCAGATCAAGGAACCTGTGTGAACGGAACCTGCCAGTGCCGACCCGGCTTCCTGGGGGAAGACTGCTCTCTCATCTTCTGTGCTAATAACTGCAGCCAGAAAGGGGTGTGTAAGGATGGTTTCTGCGCCTGTCAAGAGGGATATACAGGAGATGACTGTGCTTCAGGTAAGTGTATAGTTGAGTACAATAAAAAAAACACCCTTGTGTTTTCTTATTGCCAACCCTTCTTGTTGCCAGAAAATGTGTAGACACAATTTATGGGTTTCAGATATTTATTTCCTGCATATTTTAGTGTTATTTCTAGGACTGTCAAATGCGCTTAATATTGTTAATCACATGATGTGCCAATTCATTTATCTAATTAATCACACATTAATTTTGGCTGAGAAGGGGGCATCAAATGTGTAGAAAATGTTAATATTTTTTCCAAAAATTATCCACACCAAATGAACATGTTAAATTGACAGTTATTTCATTACTTGATATCATTTCAATATATCCAACCTGCCTTAACTACTACTTAAACTTGCTTTGTACTTTTAAATACACTGAAAATAGAACTAAAGAAACAATGCAACATAAAGCCCATACATGTACACAACTGATAAGAAATAAGAAACAATTAATATAAATAAAATATGATCAAATGTAATGTGTGACACATAGACATTTTAAGGCAACTGTTTTTTCCTGTGATCCATATGATCCATAACTTTAACCATATGTTTTTCCTGTAAGGAAACAGTACATCTGTTGTCTTGTTAAATATTGAATAGATTTTGAATAGATATCATTTGAATGATAATTTATACTATTACAATTTGCAGCAAAATTTTGTTCTGTTAAATATATATATATATATATATATATATATATATATATATAGACAGCATGTACAGTAGCATTTTTTCATACCATTATGTTACAACTCTACAACTTGCTATATTGACACAGTGGAAGCAGTACAAATACGTTCCTCAAAAAAAAAATGGACAGCATGTACAGTAGCATTTTTTCATACCATTATAAACACTTGTTACAACTTGCTATATTGACACAGTGGAAGCAGTACAAATACGTTCCTCAAAAAAAAAAAGAGTTTGTGGATAATTCACACATTCTGCCTTATATATTGCATAGTGAATTTTTTATGTCTGACGCGCTTGGAGTTCTTTAAGCATTTAAAATCCATCAAAGAGGAAATTGAGCTATAACAAATGCTTGTTTATGAACATCATTTTCATAGCATACATTCTCTCTCAAAGTGTTTAAGTCAATTGCAGATAAACAAGCTACTTTATTAAGTAATTGTGCAACTGGTATATTTTCTTTCCAATATAAATGTTCTCTGGGAAGAACAGTAACCGTTTCCCCAGTTACCGGCACACAGGACAGATGCTAAACCCCACAGTAGGCCCCCCACTCCTCCAGTCATGGCTGTAAAATTGGTGACAACTCGCAGCGTAACACCATTCATTTGTCAAAAGTCACATTCACAGGGAAAGATGTGTCAATATTAACCAGGCCAAAGCAATTTCTCCATCACGCTTACCCAGGTTCACAGCTAGTTCGTGGAAAAGACTTGCAAAACCCCACATTGCTGAAGACAGCTGTCATCTCATGAGTGGGAGAGGGAAGGGCAAATCATATTACCAGCCCAGTTCTCTGCCTCTTATTTTCTGCAAGACTGAGTGGAGGCAAAATTGCTTATTTCATTGCAATTAGGAGAAAATAGTGTGCTGTTGTCTGTGAGAGGTGGTGGAATATGGCGAGTGGCTGCTCAATTATTACTCTCCACACAGCTTCAGAAGATTCTCTGCTCTCTTAGGTCTTCATATTATCAAGGGAATGAATTAGGATATGGCTTTTCCTTTAGTTACTCTATCCAATTTTCTCGTTTCATTAGGCCGATGAAACCATAAGCAAAAAGTATTTTGCAAACAGGTAGCGATGGGGTAAAAGAAGAAATTAAGAAAATTAGATGAGATGAGAAGTTCCTTTTCTGAAATTTTCAAATAGTTTAAATTAAGTGATATTTGAAATGGCTTTCTTTGACAATTACAATTTTTCTAATTGACAAATATCAAGGAATTTAATTGCAAACTTTAACATAGCACTACACCTGCTTTTAACAAGTCTTTCAACTATAATTTAACAAAAGTCTTTATGAAATAAGTAGTAGCACATTATACTCTACACACTTTGCCAAAACATAGTCTTTAGGTTATTCTGAAAGACTGTTAGCTGACATATTGTTGCTTCAGTACATGTCAAATGATAATCTAGACAAGCAAGGCTGCCAATACTAATGCATGTATACAAAGCTGAGAATGAATCCAGTTTGAATGGACATTTTTAACAATCAACTCACAACACATAATGCAAAAAAATAAATAATAATAAGTTCTGTAAGAAATGTGCAATTATTTTTAAATGTACATGTAGAATTATATACAGTGTGTGTGTGTGTGTGTGTGTGTGTGTGTGTGTGTGT